CGGCGGTGGGCGACTGACGCGACGCCGGGCTCCCTCCGCGCTCAGGCTTGCTTTCCGGTTCTGCTCTTCCGTGACCGCCTCGGGTCGCCGCACACTCGTGGACGGTCTGACGGTGCTGAGCTCCCTTCTGGGCGGTGGGGCAAGAGTCAGGGCTGACGGGAGGATGTCCCAGGCTGGGGCAGGAAGAGATGAGCTGCGGGTGGGTGCTCGCGGGGAGCAGTAAACCATAGTGGTTTAGGGCAGGGAGCCGCGGTTTGGAATCGAAGCTCTGCTTTGAGGTTCCAAGGCCCTGGCATGCTGGCTCAGCTGTATTTGTCTACATAAATCTACAAAAGCTAGCTCGGTGCTGTCTAAAAAGTACCACAAGCGGAGCACACTTTGGCACTACGGAGATACGTACTGACAGATCTAGATAATTTTTCTTTTTTAGAAGGATATTCTTTTATATACGTATTTTTTAACATTTTATTCTCATCACTCCTTTTCTGTCTTTTTTTGAGACGTAAGTCACGTAATAAAATTCAACCTTTACAGTATACAATTTTTTAAAAGTGCAATTTAGTGGTTTTTAGTAAATTCGCTTGTATCTTTATTTTACTAAATAAGCAAATTCATATAAGGAATTTCGCAGAAGATATAGCAACACGTTCGAGAATTTTTTCTAAAGGATGAGTCCATTTAAGTTTAACTTACTAGTTACAAGCAGTTAGTTTTATTTTCCATATGGACTTGGAAAAAATAGTCTTTTGCCTCAAAATAGCCTAAAACTCAGACTTGTGACCCAACCTACCTTCTTCACATTTGCCCATTTGAAGAAAACTCAGGGAGGAATCTCACTGGAGACCCTAATCAAATGCTACTGGTCTCAGACATTTTAACTTAAGACATTGTTTTCTTTGCAGATACCTCAGGTGGACAGAAACTGAGGGTGGAATTAAAGGTTGTATTTCCAATATTTACTTTGGCTGTTTATGATCATGAAAAGTGCTCTACAAACTTGCTCATAAAAGTGTAGGTGAGGTTAAGAGCAGGTAGGTGAGGTAACAAGTCCTGCGATAGTGTGATTTATAATAAGTACATATTTGGTCTTCCCTAAGAGTTGAGAGTGGTAAGAGATGTCTGTTATGTAAAAGGGTTGAGTTTTGGAAAGCACCTAAGGATGAGGGCTGGTGGCAGATAGAGCCCACCATGTGATTAGAGCGAACTTTCAGTCCCACCCTCTGACCTCAGGAGGGGAAAGGAGCTGGAGGTTGAATCAATTGCCAGTGGCCAATAACAGCCAATCATGACTCCGTAAGAAGCCTCCATAAAAACTCAAAGGACAGCTCAGCACCTTATCCAGAGTCTCCGTGCTAGGGAACCAGAATGTTTCCATGTGCCACCCTGCCGGGCCCCAAGCTCCGTGAGGACATAAGTTCCATTGTTCAGGACCTCACCGCCCTATCTCTTCATCTGGTTGTTGATTCCTATCTTTTAGTATCATTTGTAATAAACTGGTAATCAAGTGAGTAAACAGGTTTTCCTGAGTTCTGTGACCCATTCTAGCAAATTAATCAAACCCAACAAAGGGGCTCATGGTAACCTCTGATTTATAGCCAGTCTGTCAAAAGCACAGGTAACAACCTGGGCTTGTGTCTGGAGTCTGAAGAGAGGTGTTAGGGGGAAAGCCTTGTGAGACTGAACCCATAACCTGTGAAACCTGATGCTATCTCTGAGTAGTGTCAGAATTGAATTGAATTCTTGGACACCCTGCTGATGTGAGTGAATTGTTGGTAAGGGAAAGCCCACCACCACTACATCAGAAATCAGGAACCCCTTTCAATTTGCCCTCCTCATTTTCAATAGGTTTACTTTAATCATTCTCCTTTCCTAACACACTGTATGAGGCATCTCAGTGGTAGTCATGACAGCAGCAGCAGGATGCTGGAGGGCCCAAAGTAAGAGACGGCCACCCCTGGGTGCTATGAATGCTCTGCCCTCATGAAGCTCACCAATTAATAGGACTTAAGTCCCTTAGTAAAGATTTACTGGGCCATCCTCTGTAATGACAGGAGGGAAAGGAAGTCTTCTGACCCTCATTAGGTCACATAAAAAGGCATTAAACCTGGAACTCTTCCTTATTAATAGATAACGCCTTGTCGGGAATATCCTCCCCTGTTTGAGACTCAATGCATGCTCCTTTATGCCACTTAACCATGTGGCCTGGAGCATGCTCCCAAGTTTCAGTATTTCGGACTCCATGGGGGAGGAGAGAGGTCCTTCTGCTGGGTAGACAGTTGGCTGCTGGGGGTACCCGCTAACCATGAGGGACTGCCGTACACTGTAGGAGCAGATCTTGCTCTGTCTCTATGTAAAACTTTGTTCCATTTGGTGCTCTACCTCAACACCAGTGCTTCCCGGCTGACCCTGTCTACACTTAGACCTCCCCTCCAAGGAACAGCCCTGTTCCACATTTCCCTCTGGGGGAACCCCATGTAGCTTGTCTCAGCTAAGTATCAGAAGCAAAGCCATGGTCATGCTGGGAGCCTTTCATCCCCCAGACTAGAATAGGGCCCCATTATCTATCAAAAGGCATGTAAATTCCTGTATCTTTAATAGGATAACTCCCACTCTGGGAATCTGCCCACAAGGAAATGAGACTATATACAATCATAGATCCAATAAAAGAATACAGGTAAGTAATGCTGAATCTACTCAAAGGCCTGTTATGTAGCCATGGTTAGGAAAACTGTTAGCAACAGTGAACTGTTTGTCATTTATTAAAAAAAAAACACAAGGTGCTAAATTATAGCTATATTATGAGTACAATGATGGGAAACACATGAGAGAAACAGTAGAGGAAAATACATACCATGTTCACTTGGCATAGAGGCCATGTCATAGAGGCAAGGCAGAGTACCATCCCACATGTGCTTGGGTCTGAAGCTGGGTCCCACCACTGGAAGCTGCATGACCAAGAGCAAGTTATTCAGGACCTCATTTACTCTTCCATAAAATGAGGATACTGAATAGTACGCCAGTCTCACAGGGCTATTGTACAGATAGATAAAACAGTATATGTAAGTCACTTAAATCAGTACCTGGCACACACACAGCAATACTCGAATGCTGGTTGTTGTAAGAGGTGGAATTACTAGAGGGTTTTTTCCTTATATTTTAAGTACAGACATATACATATGAAAGTTCAAATCTCAGCTTCATTAACTTTCTATGTGTGTAACCTGGGCAAGTTATTTAACCTCTTTGTGCCTCAGTTTGCTCATTTGTAAAATGGATATAATAACGGTACTGTTCTGAGCCACAGTCCCCTCCTACAATGACTACCCCAATCACAGCTGTCCAGAACATGACACAAAGTTGTAATTCCCATTCATTATAACACTCTGAGGAGAAGACTCACTTAAGGTTCTATTCCCATAGAATTTAGGGTGCCTTATGAAATTAACTACTCTATCTAAAACACGAGGAATGATCAGTACAAAAGTAATTTATCATCATATAATGTCATATTTGAATTTAAGGATCTTTTAGAAACAGCTCTTCAAAAAATTTATATAAATTGCATGTTATCTCTTTTCTATATGTGTCCTAAAACTGGACTAGAATCAACTTGTGGGCAACAATGGTGTTTTTATATTTCTTTTAGCTCTCAGTAAACCTTACAGTGCTAAGAACATTTTAAGGTTCCATTAGTACATGCTAGTTAGATAACTATGACTAAAATTTAGGCTATGCTTTAGCATAGAACCGATAATACATAAGCTTTGGTTATAGTATTTACTTTTTTTTAACATCTGCCTTACCCGAAAACAACTTCTTAAACTCCTTAAAATTCTTTCAGCGAAATTAGAGATCACAAACACTGAGGTATTTGACTCTTTTATTTTCCCATCAGTTGTTACTTGTAAGGTCACACTTATCAATTCTGGTTATTCTTCCCACAACACTTTCCTGCTTCTAGATTCAGAAATGGCAGATGAACAGAAAACCAACCTTCTTAGACATATATAAGGAATCAAGAGTCTTCTAAAACTATAATCTGAAAGTCTAATTTCTGCCTTCTATGCAGTAAGCAGATTGTCACTCAATTCACTGTTCCACCAGAATACATCTTCACATTTCAAACTGGATTTCTCCCTTAAAACATTGGATTATATTCAAGTAGTAAAAACAAGAATGGTGAATTCTATTGAATATTTTGCATTGGCTTATTGCAATACTAGTTAAAAGACCAATTTATAATTTTTTTACACATTCAACAGTTCGACAAATGTGCACAATTCTTTTAATCTGACTGAAGTTATAAGTCAACATTTCACTGGAGAAAATGTGTGAAACTGCAGCATTAATTTCTGAAATGAAGGATTGAAATTCCTCTTTCTGGCTTCTTTCAGTCCATCCCTACTCCACATGTTCCTGCTCTTGTCCTGGAATTAGCCACCGAATACTCTCAGTTCGGATGGTAGCATACATAATAAAACTGATTAAAAAGAATAAAGAAAATATGAGCAACCAGTCCACGCTCTTTATCAACGTGCTGGGAAGAGGGCCCATTTGGTCAGCTTGAGTTACCACCACATTTTTCTTGGCTTCTATACCTGAAAAAGAAATCAATTGTTTCAAATCAGATAGAAAACACACCCACTATAGATCTTTCTGACGTATTTTGCATGGTATGCAAAATGACATACAGTCTTAAACACCACTAATAATATATCTGGGATGGGTTTCGCTTGCCTGTCAGTGTAATCTGTAACTTGCCTTTCTCCTCACCACATCAAAGGAACAGGAATTCATGCAGCTGTTCAAAGCTAAAACATTAGAATTTCTGAGAACTCATCAGAGGGGTCTTAGTGCATTGTAAGAGAACTGTCTTTTGTTCTCTCTTGAGACCAAAGTCCAACAAATAACCAGTAAAGCTACTCTCAGGAGTCTACAGGATGTTGTCACAGGTTAAGTAAAGCTAAATTCAAAGTGCCTTTAAAACAATTTACCAAAAGAATTATTAGAATAACTAACATCACTGGGATTGGTGATTACCAAATATGCAGTGACTCCTAAATTTCATTTATGTCCTGAGTTTTCTTAGAGTACTGAGCAAAATTGCTCCCTCTCTCCGTATCAGTCTGAATAACAAGACCTGGAATAGCTAACAAGCCTTTTACTCCTATGAGAAAACTTAGCTCTTTGCTCTTTCGTTTAGATATAAGTTATCACATTTAGCTTAACTTGTATGGAAGGTGTATTAAATTTGTATTTATTTCCAGTGAATATACTCCAGGAAGAAGAGGGGTATTCATAATTGAAGTGTTAAAGCTTTTGAGGAGTAGACTTTTCCAATGAAGAAAACTTCTTCAACATACAGTGTGCAAACTTTTACAGAATCAAAAATAAGGCCATCTAGTTTGGCAAATATTAAGGAATTAAAATAGCCTCTGCAAACGTATCAAATAAATGGAATACTATACAGCAACAACAACAACAAAAAAACACAACTATATGCAACGATGCCAATGAAGCCCTCAGATATAATGGTGAGTGAAATAAGCCAGACACAAACAATCCATATTTTGTCTCCATTAAAATGAAGTTCAAAAACAGGTAACACTAGCCTTCTATGTTAGGAGTCACAATGGTGGTTACTCCTGGGCAGGGCAGAAGGGGTAATGCTGAGGGGGGTTGGTAATGTTCTTTCTGGATCTGACCACTGGTTACCCAAGGTGTTCACTTTGTGAAAATTTACCCAGTTCACTAATGGCTGATGCATATTTTTGAGTAAATACTATACTAAAATTTAAAATTATGTAAAAAGTGTATCTACAGGTGTATGGTATGTGAATTTTATCTCAGTGAAACTGTCTTTTTTTTTTTAAAAAAAAAAGTATCTTTAATCATATTAAAATTACCTGTTTGTGTTATGCTTGCTACGGATTGGGAGACATTTAACAGGCTCATAATAGTTCATTAGAAAAGAACTTTTACATCTCAAAACCAATCTTGAATCCTTCACTTAAGGATGACGGCAGAGTAGAACACACTCCCACAAAGAAGGCACATACCCTCAGCAATAAAATGTCTTCTTTTACAGCATATTATTTCTACATACCTGTCTGGTTAAAAATGAAGATTTTCAGGGTTTCCAATGTTCGGTCTGTATGATTAAATCTAGCCATTGGTTTAGCTCCTTGAAATAACAAGATGTTGGGAACAGCTACGGTGCCAAACCTGGTAGAAAGGCTATGAGAGAAAGTCAGAAAACCTGAATTAACAGTGGGCTTTCTCACACAATTACGATATCAGAATAGATGGCAATACATGAAAAAGGATCTGTTTTGTGTGACCTACAGATGTTTCTGATATTCAAACTGTAGACTTATAGTTGTTTCTGACCTCCCTTCCGTGGGTCATGGTTGGGGGTATTCCTGTTCTGCTGACTTGCTTTCTATCACAACATGGAACGGCCCATGACATAATTATCCCACTATTTAAGTTCCTAATGCCAAAACAGAGCGGACCAGAAAATTCTAATTCATAGACAAAGCACACTGTGTCAATTTACCTGACAGAAGACATTTCATACTTTCCAGAATGCCCATCTCTCCCTCTCATAAAAGATTTAATTTATCGTAAGCAATTAGTTTGGGAAGTTGGCACAAAGGAATCTATGATCTAACCAACATACCGGGAAAGTTACAATTAGGTCAGGATCATTCGGAAGTAATATGACCTGAGCGGTTTTGTTTCACCTTTACATAATACAGAGCAGTGGTATAAGCTCGGAGTCAAAACATTCTGGGTTCAAGCCTAAGTTCTGCCACTGTGTGAACCAGCTGTGTGACCTTTGAGCAGATTACTTATCCTCTTGAAGCCTCAGTTTCCCCCATTAGTAAAATGGTAATACTGGATCATCACAATTTTTTCTTTCATAAACATGCTTTAACTTAAATATTAACATATGAGGCAAATACATGTCCCATGCCATACAATAAGAAGTATCCTCCATTCTCCATAATTAAGGCCCCATACCAGGCACTGAGAAGGATGCATGGAGATGAAGGAACAAAGCCTGCAGGGAATGGGGGGTGGGCGTGGGAGTGACAGTACCAGACCCAAAACCAAAGAGCATTGAGCAAGTGCTGGGAACCAGCCCTGCCAGCTTGGGGACAGTGGAGGGCCATGTCAAAGCTGAACAATGACCTGGCCTGTCCTTTCCATCAGTCTGTTTCCTTGGGCCAGACCACTTAGATATTTCTCTGAAGCCCTTGTGGAAAATACTAATTTGTTTGCCATTTCTTTCTTCATAAACAGTTTTAGGTAAACACTGGCCGTTATCTTACCCACACCATAAATCAGTGGAGTATAAATTAATAAAGTTTTAATCAACTTCATTTTTCTCACCAACTTGACCATTGTCCAGACTTTTCATATTCATTCACACACAACATTTTGTTGTGACCTGCTAAGGAGCATCTAACTTAGAGAATGAGGGAACCACACAGTTTATAACCCAGGCACCATCACAGCACTTAAGGGAAATATGAAATATCTGAACAAAGCTCTCAGTAACTTATCTTATTGATAAATCTTTTTTAGACACTCATGTAAATATAAAACAAAGGTAAATGTCATTTTAAATGGCTAAATTAATAATTAATTTATTGAATGTCTACTAAGGAATATTCATGCAAGAATAAATATAAGAAAGAAGGAAACAGGGAAAGGAAGGGAAAAAATAAAATAAAAGAAATCCTAAGGAGACACAGAACAGGAGTGCCAAGAGTTAGGCTGCCAGGGTGGGGACTTAAACTGCAGATGAAAGCCACAAACGAAGATTCTACCTGTGATACACTAATTTTGCTAATTCGGTCTGGCCAGGACCCTAAAAAAGTTCTCTGGCCCTCTCCCTGCCATCAGGCAGAGCCATCTTTAAATGCTACCACACAGAGAACAGTCCTCCTTCTTCTTAAGGGGCCTCCAGAAAGAGAGCCAACAGCTTCCTCAAGCGTTCAACACTCACACTTGCATTTCCCTTCCCACTCTCTCTGCAAAGGTCATGTCCATCTCCTCTGCTTTGGGCTTAACTAATTACAACCTCTAAATAACTGCCACCATCATCCCAAAGGATGAGATGGAAATCCCACAAAGGGAAGATACCTGCTGTGCTGAGATGCATCCAGTGCCAAAAAATGAAGAGCTGGAAATGCCCGGGGCAGAGAATTAAAATGAGGGGCCAAACTGGCAGAAAATCGGCACCAAGGAGTGTAAAATAAGACTAGTGTGCAGTCACTACCGTTGGGGTTTAGAAAATCCATAAGGTCCTGTGGTTAAAAAAAAAAAAAAAGAGTTAAAGTCAGCAGTAAATGTACATTTTTCTGGAAGGATACCCAAGAAACAGGAAACACTGCTGCCTCCAGGGAGAGGAGGTGGGGGTAGGGGTAGGAGGGAGACTGTAGTGTATCCCCCCAAGAATCTTTTGGATTTGGAACCATATGAATCTATCAGCAGAAAAATACTATCAAATGACAAGTTATGTACTTTCCTCTAAGCTTTCTTAATATTACTATAGAGCAATTTTCATATTTTTCATAATTTATTCATTCAAATACTAGGTATTCATAGGGTACAGGCCACTGTCCAAACCTTTGAATTGTGCATCTCACACAATCTGATGTCATCATTAAAGATGGTGATCTCTGGCCCAAACTATCATCTCAGTAGATCCAAGTCTGTACTAAGCAGTCGGATCAATGTATTTGGCCAGAGGTTAGTTCAAGTCAAGGGTGCATCATCCATGAGACCACTCTAACTCAGACTGCTTAAACTACTCACTCCTTGTCATGTGTACAACATTTGTGAGACAAGTCCCACAGAGCTGAGGCACAGTGTTTACCAGGCACTGAAGGGAGGGTGTGAGGCCATGGCTGACCTTGCATGTGCCATACTTGCCCTCATCTAAAATAAGCAACCAGAGCTTTCAGAGCTCAGATTTCTTCTCTCATATATGCAGCCTGCATTCATCCTGCTATCTGAGTTAACAATCCTACAGAAACGGTTAGTCATTATCCCAATATTCTCTTTGGAATCACCATCTATTCAACTAGCTGGAAAAACATGGCTGGGTGTGAGACAACTGTCTCAACCATCACTCCAGAATAAACACTGGATTCAAACTCTTTGGAGTAAAGAAACTTTACATCAATATGACATACTTCCCAGGGGCATAACTAGTCTAAACAATGATAAATTAAAATTTTAGTAAATCAGATACGTTTAAGTGGCTCCTGTTATGATTCTGATGCCAAGCATCTGTTTGTCCACTGTGATTTTTACCATGAGCTTGGTGGTGAGATTATCCCAAGGATGACTAGGTTGAAGCTTCCCAAAAAGCATAATGGACACGAGTTATATAAAACTCTTCCTTTCTCTACAAACACTTCAGAGAGCAAAGTCCATTTTCACTAATGCAGCCACTAAACGTATCCCACTTACAATATGATCAAGATTACAACCCTCCATTTGAAAGATGACAGAGTATTAAATCCTAAAATCAATGTGCTGAAAAGGAGAAAAGCACTAAGTCATTTTTTCTTACCTGTGACATATTTAAAATTTTCAGGGTGAGATTTTCCAGTCCCGTGACGTTTCTCTCTTCACAGCTCACCTTGGGGGATTTCTGACTGTCGGTGTGATTGGTGTCCTCCATGGGGGCTGGCCCGGACCCTGCCACTTCCGGCTCTGTGTAATCCTCTTCTTCCCTATCCGGGAAGTTCCCACTAGTGCTGTCCAGAGAGAAGAGGCTCTCCCGGAGGTCACACCACGAGTCCGCGTCCCCTCCAGCCCTGCAGGTGCCAGCACTGGGCTCTGTGCTCAGTTTCTCCTCGGCTTCCCCAGGAATCACAGACAACATCGCCATGGGGTCGCCTTCGGTGTCCAGCCTGAGCATGGCATTGGCCTCTTCTGCTGAAGTGTCCTGGCTCATCCGGTGGTCATGTGAAGGCTCCTCTTCACTCATGTACACAGCCCCCACCTGGAGAGGGGGTGCAGGCTGCTCCCCTGACCATAAGTGACCACTTTCCACTGCAACTAAAATATGCCAGCATGTTCACAGTCTTATTTGACTTCCAAATAAATGGACCTCAAAGAATTATGGTTCTCCTAAATAGGAAATTTTCCTCTATGGGGAAAAGTTATCTTGAAGAGGAAATTTAAGGAATTTACATCAAAAAGCTAATCAGCTCTTTGTTCTGCTTCTGTAAATATGCTTGCTGTTTGCAGGAGCTCATGCAAAAGCTCACTGCACTTTGCTGACTTGTAAATGTAACTGTTTGTACCATAGCATTCCCGGCGCCCGCCCCTCCCCTTGAACAAGCACCTTGTACCTTGGCAGATCCCACTTCCTGTAACAATTTGTAACCAGCAGTAATCCATAACAACTCCTGCCCTTCCACCAATGTTACTACTTGCAACCATAGCAACTCCCTCCACTTTGTAATGGTCTAAGCTCAAATCAACCAATCAGCTCATGTAATAGACTGGTATATAAGGAATGCTGCACTATAACACAGGGCCCAGACTCCTCAGAGCACTAGCTCCTCTGGGACCACACGTAATAAACTGAATTCTCCTTCTCTCCGAGTTACTGCTTGGTTTTTTGCTGGTCTGACTTTGGAGCTTTTCCGCACCATTTTCGGAGGCCCCAGCAAGATTCCAACCACACCCGCCCCTTGAGCCGCCAGACCAGTGGCTCGGCCTAGCCGAGGCGGAGGGGAACCGAGACAACTGAGGAGGTGTGCCACCTGACAAGTATTCCAGGTTCTCTTTCGGATTGGCGCCCCGATTCCCAGTGAGGCTGAGACACCAACCAGACTCATAGGAGGGAAGGACCAACTCACCAGAAATGGCCGCAGGAGGAAAATGTACCAAGGTAAGGAGGAAAGGTCCCGGGACAGCCCCCTTTCAGGTCCCGCCTGTCGGGTGTAAGAGGAAGCTGATCCCTTCCTGATCTTCAGTAAGAAGACATTAGTTAGGGAACCTGGTGAGTATTCCAGGTTCATCGGAGTCTCCAAAAGCAGGGGTGGAGACTGGGTCTCCCCAGTGGAGGAGAGGTCAGGTTACGCCAGAGGCCTTCCATAAAGGGGGAGGGCACCATTTAGCCTAATGTATGAGTGAGAGTTTCCTCAGTAGGGAGGCATCAGGTTGAGGCAGGCCCCCACTGACTGAGTATACTGGTGGGGAGGAGTAATATTTTGACCTGATGAGTGAATGAGTGAGTGAATGAGTGGCTTGGCCGATATGATCGATGAGATACAAGTTTGTAGCTCCACGGCTGGGCACCCTTAAGGTCCCCTGAAGCCCACAGAGTTTGCGTGGGCTCATTGTGCAGTTCTGTGGTGAACGACATACGGTCCAGGGAAGCATCATACTACCGTCCAATCGCAAGTCACAAAGCTGAGTCCAGTATGGCTAAGTGTCACCTAAGCTCCTCACAAGGGGACATGGCCAGATGAGCATCTGAATGGTCTCCTCTTTAGAGGGGGCGCCTGCCTTCGTTTGTCTTTGTGTCACCTTCGCAGGGTGGGAAGAGTTTGGTCAACACTAAGAAAAGAGGGGAACTCCATCACTCTCCAGAGGGCAACCAAGCGCCCTCCACAAGTTAGCAGACATGTTAAGGAATGGTGGGAGGTTGTATGAAAGAGAGTGAATGAGTGACTGAGATGTGGTCTTGCTACAAAGCAAGAGTTGAGCCCCAATCCGCAGTTCCGTGGCAATCCTCATACGGCTTACGGTGGCCTCACTGGATCTCCGTAAGGAGTTTACTCCACTGATGCGGGTCGGGGGTTTATACTGACCCACCAATGCTAAGAGGTGCCTGAAATCCCCGCGAGGGGAGTGGCTGGAGATGGGCGAAGCGAGTGGCATCCCCTCTGAATTTCCCAGACCCTATTCCCCATTCCCCTTGTAGCATGATAGTTGTCTGTTGAGGAAAGTACAAGAGGTACTCCTGATATATATGGTGGAAAGGAAAGTAGGAAAGTGTCTTGGTAACAAAAGACATAAGGTCTGGGGACTTACTTTGAAGGAAATTAAAGGAAAGGTGTTTGCCTCAGAGTTGGTTATTTCTGAAAGCGTGAAAAGAGGCAAACTGAAGGAATAAAGAAAATGTGAAAGGTTTGCGGAAGTAGTAGAAGGTTTGTGAAGGGAAGTCCTGAGGAAATTTTGAGAGGAAAGTGTGGAAGGTTTGTGAAGAGATTCTGAGGAGAAAATTCTATGTAACTAAGCTAAATAAGATTGAAAATTTAAATGTTGAAAGTAAACTGATGTAAAATTAGAATTGTATTCTAATGTTTTGTAGACTATTGGTCTGCCATTAATGTTGGGAAAAGGTTTTCTGAGTAGAAAACAAGGATTCTATATGTCATCAAAATAATTTCAGTGTTTTACGCTGCCTTAACCAGGTTTCTGGAACTTTAGAAAATATACTAACAATGGCCTCTGCACCCTATCTTCAAAGGAAGCTCTCCGCAAATATGGAGGGAGGTTCTTCTAAGCCAACTGTCTTAAATTATATGTTGAAAAATGTTAAGAAAGGTTTCTCAGAGGAGTACAGGGTCAAGCTAACCCTGGGAAAGCTTCGTAATCTTTGTGAGCTTGAATGGCCGACCTGCAGGGTAGGTTGGCCCCCAGAAGGGACCGTACACCTCCATACAGTGAGGGCAGTGTACCGGGTAGTGACAGGGACTCCTAGATATCTAGACCAGTAGCCATACATAGACACATGGCTGCAGATCGCTACTGTAGTGCCCCTATGGGTCTGGTTTTGTGTGAACAGGCAGGGAAAGA